ATTATAGGTTAGGGATTTTTTGGTAATAACCATCTGAAAATGTTTTCTTTTGGTTTCTTTTGGTGTTAGAAGCTGTAATGGTGGTTTATATATGTTGTCTTTTGGTGTAAGAAGTTGTAATGATGGTTTATATATGTTGTAATTGTTGTCTTTTTGGTTGATTGGAATTGTAATGGTTTTATGACAAATGGAATTGTAATGGTTTTTTCTTGATATGAATATGCAATTGTAATGGTTTTATATTGAAATAAAGCATGCATATATTGAGTACATTGCCATAATAGGTTACTAGTTTATATAAAGCATAACAGGTTAACAAAGCATGTGTATATAAAACTATAGTGAATAAAGCAAGAACATACCATAACAGGTTAATGCCAAAGTGGTGATTACATTGTTCCCAAAAAGTGCATTAAAGTACATTACCAAAAGACTAAAGTGTATTACCAAGTCTTAAATAACATAAAAACAAAAGTAATTGAACATAAACTTATACTAGACTTGAACCTACACCAACACTTCCCCTTCAGAATAGCAAATCATTAGTTCCCACCTTGGCCCTTACAGGTCCTGGAATTGTGTCCCTTGTGCTTGCACTTCCCACATGTCACAGTCAAAAACCTCAAGCTCAGCTTTTGAGTTTCACTTTGACATTTTGGTTGTGAACTTGGCTCTTCCCTTGCTGAATTTGACCCCTTTCATCTGCTGTAATCCTCCTTTTCTTTTTTTTTTGGCTTGCCTACTACTTTGTGGTGTGGTGGAGGGGGAAGAGTTGTTGGGCAGTCACTTTTAGGCCACATGGATCTACCTTTGATAGGCTCTACCTTGAAAGAGTACATTTCTTTCCATGTATCAAGCCAGTACACCTTATGCACATAGATGTATAGTTCTCCCACATTTTCACCATTGTCTGCCATTTCATTGAGGGTTGCAATTGCATGATTGCATGAAATTCCAATAAGCTCCCACTTTCTACAACTATAATCCTTTTTGCCCCATGTCCACCACATGTTTATCACTCCATGGGACCTTAACCTGATACTTTTGACCCCCATTCCATCTTGTTTGTTACTTGCTAGAAAATGTTGTGTTTGATTCCAAAATCCTAGTACCAGTTGGACTTAGTGGACCTGCACACTTGTTTAACACCTTCATCACAGTGCACACTCTCTTCATAAGGTATTCTCTAATAAACTCCAAAAAGCTAATGATGGGTTTGTCTCTCCTATTCACAAGTTTGTTATTGAAAACTTCACAAAGGTTATTCAATAACATGTCTAAAATTACCCTACCTAGTTGTTTATTAACAGAATAACAATTAGTTAATAACTAGAGTGTAGTGAAAAGTAACCTAAAAATGACAACATACCTGAAAAATGACTTCTGGCCCAATGTTGTGGAGGGATTTTCAAAAGCCACTCATATGCCTCAATGTCATACTTCTTTAACTCTAACATCATAGCTTTAAACTCTGGTATGGTGGTGGCTGTAGCACAGTTCCACAAATACTCCTTGCATTATCTAGTCTTCCATGTCTTCCTCATGTTTTGGTATATGTGTCTTAAATAGAACATGTGTTCTGCATTAGGAAACACCTATGACATGGTTGGTATAAGACCCTGTTTTCACCAAAACAAATGACTAACTAGCAAACTTATATGTAATGAAAACTAATATGCTAACTTATATGTTAATATAATACCTTCTGTCTATCACTAATAAAGGTAAAGTTGGAATTTGAGTACAGGTCAAGATCTTCTCCAAGACACTGAAGAAACCACTTTCAGCTTGTAGTGGTTTCATTTTCAATAACAACATATGCCAATGGGTAGATTTCATTGTTGGAATCAAGTGCATTTAACTTTTGCACAATTTACATCTTTACCCTTTACCTTTTTCCCAGAGGTAGGTTCACCTACCCTACTTGTATTAACAACAACAGTTTCATCACAAACAACTGTTAACCTACTCTTGTTATTTTATATGAATAAGATATTCCTTCTTGTCTCTAAAGCATGTGTATCCACTTTATCTTTCAATTCTTTCTTGGATTAATATTTTGACCAGCATGAAAAGCCACCTTGTGCACGTCACTAGCAGAGCACAATTTTTGTTTTCCCCGACTCCTTGATCATTTTCCTTTTTCATGTTATCCCCTGAATCATCACTAAGTGAATCCCACTCATCATTATCAATTACGTCCACATCCTCTTCTTGATCAAACTCTTCATTTCTTTGACCACCCAAACTGTGACATCCAGTAAACTTTGCTTCTGTGTCAATATTTAGGTTGAAATCTTCCATATTAACTTCAACATCTTCAATAATGTTGTCCTTATCAATGAAAAAGTCACTATCTTCATCTTCATTGTTTTGACTCTCAAACTCCATATCATCAGGACCCTCTTGTCTCCAGTCATCATTGAAAGGAATATTATCTTGGCCTTCAAACCCATGAAATGGGATGTTATCTTGGTCTTCAGACCCTTCAAATGGTTAAAAGTTTGTCATTAACTTATCATCTATATGGATGTTAGATGGAATTTCATTGGAAACTTGAGGTTCATTATCCATGATAACTATATACCCCTTATTTGTAAATCCTTCCACACCCTTACCTTTATCAAATTCACCACTTACCAATGTTTGTTCATCACTACCTTCCCAATCCAAGTTAAGTTTCTTACTACAAGATGATGACCCTTTACTTTGTTTCCAACCTTTGGACCTATTAAATTTGGGGGTTGCTGACTTGTATAAGGTTGATGCTAACCCTAAGTCACCCTCATCAACTTCATTTTGGATTAGAGTAACCACTTCATGAGAAACTACAAGGGATGGGGATCTAGGAGCTTCCTTATTGTCAATCTCTTCTATTATAACCCTTCTAGGACCTTTTGGGGACATAAAATATGTAAGCAAGTTCGTTTACCCATGCTCTATGTACACTTTTATGAGTTTGTTATGAGTAACATAATGTGAGAGATTATCAGCATTACCTAATGCTTGTAGTCCAAAAACAAATCCATCATTAGGTAAACGAAAATGGTAATACATGATTTCAGTATCATCATACCCTAATTTTCTCATCATCAAGTCTAACTCATGCATAGAAAATTCATCAATGTCGACAACATCAATGTACCTAACTTGTCCATTAATGTACCTGATATTTGGAAACTTTGTGAAATTCCCTCCGTGATGAAGTTCAATAGAGAATATGTTGGGGTAACCATCTTCAAAACAGAAAGAAATGATTGTTAGAATTTTCCAACGTTTGAAACATGAACATCAAATACAGAGTGTCTTACCATAAACTTCTTAATTGTTAACATTTTCTCCAAGATTTCTGAATTCCCACATTTTCAATAGCATAGATGAAAATCAAAGCTCGAGCAATGGTTAGGGTTTTTGCGTCTCAATTAATGAAGATTGTGTGAGAGAAGACGAATGAGTGAGGTACGTCTGTATCATTATTACTAATTCAGGCTTCTTAATTCAAATGGCGGCAACGAAGGCTATAGACCAAAAAGAAGAAAATCCCCTCAGATGGAGGGCACGTGATGGCCCTAACGGCTCTAACAAAACGGACATAGGCGGAATGGACTAAAAACACGGGAAAACTTGATTTTGGATCTTCCATGCAAGTTGGAAAGTTTTTGGACCCTATCCATAGTTTTTTGGATACCATAAGGATCAATCTTGCAGTTTAAGATGTTTAAAGTTAGATTTAGAATTTCATCTATCGAATAACAATTAAGTTTGTCATCTTATTCAACTTTCTTGTTGAACTCTTCATTGTAAACGCCCTAACAAGTATGGAAAAAAAATATTTATTGGTTAAAAGAATATAAAAAAATCAATATAATTATCTTTTCCTGTTAGTGTGTATCGAGAGTGCAATCACTAATGAACCCACTTAATATTATCCTATCTAAGATTTGAGAGAATTAGAGACTTAGTACTTTAAAACTAATTTATGAGAAAGAAAAGAAGATGTTTAAAGTTAGGGAAAATTTCATATATGCCCCTCTTAAACTTCAAAATATCATATTTGCCCGGCTTAATTTTCTCAATATCATATTTACCCTTCATAAACCTTCAAAATATCATATTTGCCCAAATCCTTTTTTATAATGTTTTTAATATTTTACAATCATTTTTTATACCTTAGAATTATTATCATAATTAAAAATTTTAACCATATTATCCTTACGTCTATGATAATGGAATGTGAACTTCTAAATTGTTGGAATGTCGCTCTCTTGACAAACAAAAAGATTCTTCTTCAACCCTCTCTATGGAATGTATATTTTAATTGTTTAGTTTTTTATGTTGTTGATTATTATCATGTTGTAGATGGAGGATATTTTAGATATTAGCATTGATATTTTGATGTTTAAAAAGTACATATACGATATTTTGATATTTAAGAAGGCATATATATGATATTTTGATGTTTAAAAATGACATATATGATATTTTGAAATGTTATGAAGAGTAAATATGATATTTAGCAATTTTATGAAGGGTAAATATGATATTTAGAAATTAAGATGGGTAAATATGATATTTTGATGTTTAAGAAGGGAAGAAGGGATAAGTTATAGCAACTATTAAGGTATAAAGTTGTGTCAATTGGAGTATATGCTTATGACATAAAGTCTTTGTCAATTTCAATAAAACTATTAAGTCCAAATTTATGACAAATAGTCAAATAATTAGACCGGAACACGTCAAGGACAAACTTGAAAGCCTTGTAAAAGTTATGAAGAGGCAATGCGTCGAAGTATTGTGGGCCATGCCATTTTAGGCCTTAGACCAGAAATAGAAAAGATACACTTAAAAAGAGGTACTTATATTACGTCAAAATAAGATCAAACAAGTTGCGTTTGTAGTCCAACGGTTAGGATAATTGCCTTCCAAGCAATAGACCCGGGTTCGACTCCCGGCAAACGCATTTTTCAATTTTATTTATTTATTTTCTTTTTGGATTTTAGGTTAAAAGGCTTTGTCGTCATTCTTGAGTTATTTACCGCTCAACCGATCGTCGTCAGTCGTCACTGATCGCTACTCTCAAACCCTCCAATCCTCTGCATCCACAATTGGATATTTTGTTGATACCACCTGCAAACATCTCTGCTCAAAGATTTCGATTGGGGCTTTGGTCGGGGAAGCGAACATATTGAAGAGCCTGAACCTGAAGAATCCCACCTACTTCTCGATCTATTTTCCGTTCAAAATTCTTCAATACAATGAATGATGGAGGGAAGGGCAAGTCTGTCGATTTTTCTGGAGATCAACAGCCGCAGCCGACCACTGATGTTCCTCAATCCACGCCGCCTCTAGTGATGCAAGCCAATCCCCAAACCCTTTCAGGTGCGTGCAGTGATTTATTTGTCAGAATCATCGACTTTGGCTATCTTTTATTCCTCTTAAAATTGATCATCTCTATAATATAAACCAACTTAGGGCCTTCAACAGCTCTCGGTCTTTGGTTATCATCTGCAATAGAGTAATGAGGCACTTATGGAGGATTCTTTGAATTGATCACAATCCTTACGATTTTAAAAGATGAGAATGGTTTTACTAAGTAGGTTTTAGATATGATGCTTGTTTTTCTCCCACTTTTCTTCTAATATGCAAGTTTGCACATCAAGTGTTCTTGGAAATGCCACATGCTTGTACATGGTAAATGTTAGTTAACATAGGATAAAGGGGATGGAGACAAACTGACTTTCAAGTTCACTATTCTTGATTGTCTACAGTTCGCCTTGAGACAATAAATCAGAGTAATTGTAACTCAATCTTTTCAGAACGAAGGCTTTTATCTTAAGCCATATCATCAAATTATTGAAAATGTTTTATTCTTGGCCAAATAGACCATTGTCTGCAAGTTTTTGTATTTTGGTTTCTTCCTCGACAACCCTAGACAAGTTTAGACCTGAAGATTTAAGATCCAAACCTCATCCCAGATTGTTCTTGAGAGAAAAAGAAAGCAGTTGACTATCATGAAAGGCTAGAGATTCTGGCATATGACTGCAGACCATCAAGAGTACTTTGACAAAGCTTAGGGGCTGTTTCTTTTTTATTTACTGAGCTTAATGAGTTAAGCATGACATAACATGGGCAGCTATATGTGGCTGTTTCTTTTTGACTTAATCTGGACAGAATGATAAAATGGGTTAAGCCAAAAAAAACTTGGCTTCATGTATTAAGATACTAAACCTTTTCCTCTTTTCCCTTCTATATGACTTTTAAACCATCTGTTCTGCATGATGTCTTTTTTTCACACACTTCTACTTCTATTCAAATTCAATAAATTTGGTTAAAATTTGTTCCAAAATCCCAGAGAAAAACACTAGAGTTGATGCTGTGTGGCAGCAGATGAACAAAGGAATTTCCAAAGAGAAGCTGAATTCCATTATAAAGAAGTCTCCCTCAAATTCATCTAAACCTTCTTCAAAACCATCTTCTTCCGTAAGTCTTCTCATATAATTTACATAAATAAACATTTTCAACTCAACATATTACATATTCAATCATTCGTTTTTCATTAGAGTTGGATGACAGTTCTTGGACTTGGTCCAAAAAAGACTTCACCTCTCCAGCCCACACCAAAGTCACAGCCAGAGGATAAACAAGATGGTGTTAGTCAAGACACCATGAAACTTGCAGCTGCCGCCCTTTCTGCCGCCAGGGATGCCGCCAACATGGCTGCTGTTTCCGGAAGAGGAAAAATCGAGGTGAGAGAAATGAGAGACTTTGCAGGGGAAGCCATTGAAGTAAAGAAGTTTGTTGATGCAAACACAAAAGAAGCATCAGAAAAAGAAAAAGGCAGTGGTGCACCTTCTGCAGTGGATTCGATTCTTGAACAAATTAGAAAGAAACCAAAACTAAGTGTTCTTGATAAGACCAAAAAAGATTGGGGTGAATTTAAGGAAGAAAACCGGTTGGATGAAGAGCTTGAAACTTATAAAAAGAGTGGAAATAAGTATTTGGATAAAGTCTCTTTCTTGCAACGTGCAGATTATCGTGAGTTTGAGAGGGAAAGAGATGCAAGATTAGCTGTGCAGGCTAAAAGGAAGACTGATATGCGAGAAGATGACTAATAAATACCAATATTTTATAAAATGTTTTATTGTTTCATCTTTGTTTTTAGAGATTTTGTAACATGAGCGGATATTGTTTGATAATTTTCATCTATGCATGAGATATATGCATAAGATGTGCACAAACTAGTGCATTTGGTATTTAACTTTTGTGCATTTGATATGTAATGTTGTATACATAATTGAGTGCATCTCATGTATACTTTGGTTCATGTTATGCAAAAGTCTCTGCATCTCATCTATGATCTTGTGTATGTTATTTATTAGTTAGTGTATCTCATGAATAACCTTGTGAATGTTATGCATAAGCTTGTGTATTTCATGTGCAAGCATCTGCATCTTATGCATAATCTAGTACAACTTATGTATGTTTTTAAACTTAATTATATGGGATATTGACTAAATTGACCAATTCTTTGTTTACTATTAACAAAATAGACCAACTAGTTTAATAATTTGAAAAATGACCACTGAATCTGTAATTTTAAAGAGAAAATATGAATTCGACAAACTAGGTTTGGATCAATTTTCCGTTCAATATAATGAATGAAGGAGGGCATGGCATGTCTGTCAATTTTTTAGAGGTCAACAACCGCAGCCGACCACCGATGTTCCCCAATCCACACCACATCTCCTCATGTGAGCAAATCCCCAAACCCTTCCAGGTATTTGTCAAAATCATCGAATTTTGCTATCTTTTATTCCTCTTGAACTTGATTATCTTTATAAGTATTACAATGTCGGAATTACAGGAAATAGCAATGGATTTCACTCTCTTTACTAATATAGGAAATGTATTTTAGTTTCTTACATGTAATAGCAATGTAATTTTATTTCTCTACTCATAATAGCAATGTAATTTCATTTTCTTACCAATAATAGCAACATACTTGGCTTTTTGTTTATTAATAATAGAATAACATTTAGACATATTTAGCATTCCATACATTTCTTCAAAGATTCATGACACTGGTTAAGAAAATACACAATTCATCCTTCATGGGTGGTGCTTAGCACTGACACTCTTGACATACCCAGTATATATAAAGAAAACAATGTTACTCATTGAAATCATTGTCCCTTTTTAATAACAAAATCATTTGAATCATTGTCAGTTTGCTCAATCTCCCTAATTACATTATCCCATGTTAAGTATTAATTAATTAATTGCTTTGATTGTGATTCGTATATCTTTTGTTTGAAAATCGATCAATATTAAGAAATAAGATATATTTTCTACTGTATTTTGTTGTTAAAATATTGAATTTCGGATTAATAAAATATTACACAAAATAAAAGAACTTTGGATGAACTTTAGATCAATGCAATTTGAATGCACTTGTTGTGCCAATTTGCGGAAGCATAAAGCTATAATTAAGAAGAAATGTAGAAGAAATATAAACAAAGAATGATCAAAGATTAAATGTTCTTGAAATGTATGTTTATTTATGCGTGATACAGAGAAGATACAGAAGAAGAAGAAAAAAAAAAAAAAAAAAAAAACTACTCTACGATATATTTATATGTGATTTAAAGTTTAAACTCATTTCTCCCATATTTACTACTACGACCCCCGGACTAGATCCTTATTTATGAATAAGATCCTAAAACTTTGTTTTAATGCCACATTTTACTACAGCACTAATTAACATTCCAATAGATGTTCTTTCTAGTTTCTAATAATAATAACTCGTCACGATTCAAATCTCCACAATGAAAACTACTTGACAAGACCCAAACTGATGATTCCCCATGAAGTATGTGGCCAGGACCTCTCCTTTGCCTTGCTCAACATAACCAACTAACCCAAGACAAGGAACCGCCCCCATGCCAGATCCCTCGTGTCCCATGACCCATTACCCCAACCATTTCCAGCAACAGACTCACACCCTTCTTAGCCTCTCTCTCCCCTTCCTCGAATCTCCCTCTGCTCAAATAAAACTGGCTCAGCAACACATGAGGCTCACCTACAAACGGGGTCTTCTCGATACACTTCAACAACATCTCTTCACCCTTCTCCTTCTTCGACCCTTCGTCGTTAACAGCCTCCCAATACAAGTCTCTTGCCACTATCTGCTGACTTGGATCAAGAATCTTGGTGCATCTGTCGAAAACAGGTGGTATTACCAGCTCTATATCTTCATCTATGTTATCAGCTGGTACAATCCCATTAACATGCCCATCTGCTCTTCTCCTTTCCTCTGCGTACATCTCTTCTTCTCTTACCAACAAAGTGTAAATAGCTGCCATTTTCGATATCAGGTTCATCCACAGTCCGGGCTTCCCATTTCCGGGCCATAAGGTGTAGAAATTGCTGTTACCAATGAACTCCAGCCGACCATCGGTGTTGTCGTACAATGCATCTTGATAACCGTAGTATTGGTCACCGAAATCAGCTATGGTCATCAGAAGGAAAACGGCGACCACCCTTCTTGGAACAACCACTGGTTCGCCTGTTCTGATATGCTTCACCTTGATTCCGGTGGCTGGAACGATCGTTTGCAGCTTCTTCCTCCACCCTTCTTCTCTGTTCCAACCACCGTTCTCCTTGACGTCTCTCAAAGACTGTTCAGAAGCTTGGAGATGCTCCCGGAGCTCTGAATCAGTGTAACGAAACACTAGATCATCATGGGTGAGAGGGTGGCGAGGTACAACGCAAAACAAGTGAATCAAACTCTCAGCGACGGGACCAACATGGTTCCGAACAGTTTCCCGGTCGGTGACGGGGTCGAAGATTGCAAGGTCATGATAGGAGTTGGAGTAAACGGAATGAAAAAGGCCAAAAAGACAAACGGAATCTGGTGCATTCCAGAGCTTGAGGATCCGGTAGACATGGTATAGGTGATCAAGAAAGGTTCCTAGCCGGTGCCAGCACTCACCAGCGCCAGCAGAGCGTAAGATGGCCAAGAGGGCTGGAAGTTTGGTGTCCACTGACTCGGGTTTGTCACGGAGGAAAGGACGAGCTGACTCAATGAGATCTTGAAGATGCTCATCGTGGTGATCAAGAGAGACTGGAGTTGAAGAGGGCATGTTTGCGGTTGCTTGAGAAGATAAGAATGGAAAAGATATATATGCATATGATGGATGGAGAGTAGATGAGACCACATTTTTATATACACGTATATGCAGTACATAGCTAGTGTCAATTTGGTAGGAATTAAGTACGTGTCAAGGAGCCTTGGTTCGTAGGACACTTGGGTTGTCAAATCGCACCCCACTCGGATTTGGAGTTTTCATTTGTGATATCAAAGACGAGTAGACGACAAAGTGAAATTGTAATCAAAACTCAGGAGTTGGTGTACGTAAACTTTTTGCCTTTGGTACGATGTCTAGTCCCTTTCTAGTTTCTAGACAAGAATTGACGGTACCATGACGTAAAGTTTTATGAGTGTTATTTTTCGTGTATCTTTGCTTCGCTTTTTTCGCTTTTTATCTTACTTTTAGAGGACTCATAAAGAGAACATGATCTAATCAGTGAAAATTAGATGATAAATGAATATACAACATTAGTATCATCCTAAATAGATGTATTATTCGCTTATGTAAATGTTGTTGAAAGATATACTTTAGGAATGAGAATATTAAAGTCGTACGGTAACTGAATGATTAAGCAATACATAAAAAGTGGAGTTTGAACGCTCTACTTTTATGTTATTGTTTAATGTTAAAGGTCATACTTAGTCACTGATTGAAATTATGCTGAATTGGTCATTTAATTTTTTTTTAAGCTTTAAAAAATTATTAAATTTATCTTTTTTTACAATGTGATCATTATGACGGACAATATGTTTTTAATTTTAATTTTTTTGCCTATTTAAGATCGTAGAATATTTTAATTGTCAATCTAAGTTCACCTAATTTTTGTAGGTAATAATTTGTTATTAACTATTAAAATGCTTATATCTATATATAATATATCTATCTATATATATATATATATATATATATATATATCTATAACTAAATATAGAGAGAGAGAGAGAGAGAGAGAGAGAGAGAGGGGGGGATAGAATTTATGGGTTTAGGATACTACCAAATAACAATCATCTTTGAGTTCCTCCATATTTTGATCGCTTTCTTTGGTGGTTGTGTCTCATCAATTCCTTCTTCTTATGTTTCAATTTTCGAAACAGCATCAGAAGTCTCAAATATAAGCAATTCTTCCTGAAAGTTGGGTTTTAGTAGGTAAAAGTATGATTTTATAATTTCAGTTAGGAATACTAAGTGTGTGCACTTACATATTCAACTTCAGTCTTTGAAGGTATATCCAATATTGCATATATTTCATCTGATATTTACCCTGATTCTACAGGTTGTTCTGAAGATGGTGAGTTTATGGATATTGAGATGCACCCTACAGTTTCAAGATTGATTCCTAATGATATCACACCCGCTAGTTTTGAACCTTCAATCAATTATTACAAAGCATGTATAAGAAGCAGTTGTACCTTTTGAGAAATTATCAGCAACACAAATCTAATGAATAATCTACTAACACTTGCTTTTTCACAATAATATCTTTGTTTTTGCAAATTGTTGCATAACATGTCTGAGATAAACCTCAGTATACATATCGAATCAATACCAAGAATGATCAACATAATTCATTCACTCAAGTCGGTCATTCCCACCCGCAATAAAGTCTGCATGCATGTTCGCAATCATCAAACTCCAAAACACAAGACAACAAAATTATATGATATATGAATAAAGCGAACAACAAACCACCCACCAATAATCATATAATCGAACCACAAAACCTCACTATACACACACACACACACAAACTCAGTTAACCCGTGAAGTACTATTAAGCCTTCCCCACCATTTCTTTTTCCCCTTATCACCATGTCCATCCCCATCTTCATGTCCAAGCTTATTCAAAATGACCTTTGTCTCCCTCAACCTCACACTATAATCCTTCTTCCAGCCTTCAAACATCTGTTTCAGCCTCCTAAGTTCATGATCCGGGTTCAAATTGGCAGCATCCGTTTGACCTGATTTCACCTCAACCAAAAACTTAGCATCATCACCAAACACTTGACTCCTTTGTTCAAACTCTTCAGCCAGTCTGCTTATCACACTCAAACCCGCACTCATTGGTCTCATATTGTCATGTCCATTTCTTCTAGCATTCCCATTTGCACTCCCATTTCCATCCCATGTGTCATCATTTGTTATATTGATGGAAGCATCAGAATTCCTTTCAGAAGTGGTATTATTATCATCAAGTGAAAGGCTCTTTTTAGCTATTGAGAGGCTTGATTGTAATGAACGCATTTGTTTCTGCCATACTTCTTCCATTGATTTCATTTTGAGCTCGTATTCTGACCACCTGCTTTCGTATTGTTGCAGACGTTGGTGTAGAATATCGTTTTCTTCTTCTTTTTCTCTTAATCCGGCTTCTGCTTTAAGGATTCTTCTCTGTAACTCAGCAAGATATGATGACTTCACCACCACTTCATCTGACTCATTGCCCTGTTTCAAAAATTTAACCTCACTTTGTTATTTTCTCATGAAATTAAAATGTGAGTTGTGACATGATTTTATATTTGATATGTTATTAAACAGAATCTCATTAAGTGTACCTTTCCAGAACCGAATTGAAGTAGTGCAATGTCCCCTGAGCATCTTCTAACCAACCACCCTCGTATAACTGAAAAAAGCGACATCATTAATTTGAACTATTTTATCATTGAATTCGCAAAATTCAACTTTTTCCCTAATATCATGATATAGAAAAAATAATATACCAGCTTTGTAACACAACAGTAGCGCCATGAATGTCTTCAAATATTTTTCTGCTTATTTTTGATTTAATCTGTTTTTGTATAACAACAGCCGCCCTATGTCTCTGTAGCAATACCACAAACTCCTTTCTGGTTTTTTCACCACGAACATCTGTAGAAAAATATTATTGTTAATATCTCCATATTTCTTCTACATAAAAACAAATAAATAAAAAGGCATACATGACTGAAGAGTGAAAATCCCTCGTTTAAGTTCCTTCAAATATTGACGAGCTTTGTGACCTCTAAAGCAGCTTTGAACACGCAATATGCCATTAAGAGTTCGGTTCCTTGTATCCTCGAGCTTTCCAATCTGACATATAAGTTTATATACATATAATGTATAGCATCAGTTTTTGTAGTATAATTACTAGTATTTAAGAAATTTAAAAAAAAAATGTTGATCTAACCTGTCCAGTTCTAAAGAACAACTTTGTGTAACCAATTTGATACATTTCAGGAAGAATATCAAACTGGTGAAGAATGGCAACCGATACACTTAGTGGATCTTGTAATGCAACATGCTCGAGCAAAAGAAACCCGTATCTAATAATAACAAAAAAAAAAAAAAAAAAAAGCAAGTAAATATTGCTTTAAGTTAACTAGATAATGAAAAACTATTATAAAAGAAAGAAAATAGTATATAATATATACCTTCTTGCAAATTTCTGATGTGTCATTCTTGTTGGGAATCCAGAGCGTGAAATCCTAACAACTTCCAAAACACCACAACATCTGAGCTGTTGCAACACAAGTCCTTGATGATAAATCCCAGGGGATTGTGAGTTGTTTGGTTTAATGCAACGTATGAAATGGGGTGTGGTGCTTTCTAATCGTTGCATTAATTGAAAAAGTTGTCCCTGAACAAGATCAAACACATCTAAATTAGTATTATATTATATAACTTGTTAAATTCCAAAAATAACCTTCAATACCTTAAACTTTGTGACAACACTAAGCTTTTGGGAATCTGCTCCACCTGATTTGTGTAAAGGTCCAAGAACAGGCTTTTCTGATAAAGAGAGCATATTTGAGGCGAATGCTTGTGGAAGCTCACATGTGCAAGAAGACAAAAGTTGAATGGAATCCAGATGTAATAGGTCACGGTTTTTTTCTAGAAATCCGGTTGTATCATACATAACCTGAAGAACAAAAAAAACAAATTTTGTTAACACCAATTACCATTTTGGTTTAGATGAAATAAAGATGGATTGTGTACCTCTCCTGCATAATGATGAACTGTGAATGCTTTGCCTCGTTCTCCTCTAAAACATGAATTGGATTTCAAATGTTGTTTTAGTTTGGCTGCAAATGTCATGTCTGTCCCATTTGGGAAAGTTGACTCTTCATCTAATAAAGTCAATAGACCCAATGGTTTCTGTAATAAAATACAAACAACATTTTATAAAATACGTATTCCATTAAAAAAGAATGTATTCAAGTTTTAGATGATAATAATAATAATAGGCAAGGAACCTTTTCAAAAAGGTTGAGACAATCTTGATTGTCTTCAAATTCCACTTTTGCCCAATCAATCCCATCTTGAATGTATTCCTAAAATGTCGACATCAAATTTTAGTTCACGTTACAAAAAGTTCAATTGTACCAAAAAAAATAATAAAACACCAATTACCTCCTGTTCCAACTTGAATAAATGGCGATTGAAATGTTGTTGTAATCGCTCGTTTGCATAATTTATGCAAAACTGTTCAAAACTATTTACCTGAAAATACGCAAAAATACATGAGTTAAGTTAACCATAAAGTATTTGATATAAAAATTACACACGATAAAAAACTTTTTATACATCGAATGATTCGAATCCATATATATCAAGAATGCTAATAGATCTTCCAGTGCGACGCTTGCCTACAGCAAGTGATTTGTTGATTTGTTCCACCAACCAATCAAACAAACAAGAATATATTGATTTTGCCAAAGCATCCCGTGTGTCAATCGCCTGAAATAAGGAGAATTTTTTATAAATCAATATTGTTTTTTGTTATTGTTTTTTTTTTTTTGTAAACTAATATTTTTACCTGGGCTAGGGTTAGCTTTTGAACAATATTATCATTACCAACTTTCATTTTCCGTGTAGATAAAGCAAGCTTTAAATCATCAGCCTCACAACCAATTAATTTAGCCACATTCAACAGAGCTGCAATGCACAACAATATAAAACTTATAAGATGAAAAGCATAAAATATAAATATAAATTTTAATATCAACCAACAATTTTTACCTTCATCAATCACAGGTTCCACATGGTTTTCATTATCAACAATTGAAAATGTCACATCTCCTAACCACAACACTGCTGCAAGCATGGAAAAAGCATTTTCTTGATTCTCTTTGCTAACATGAACCGCATCCAGGGCTTCCTGAAAATATTTTAAAAAAAAAAAAAAAAAAAAAATTAAAATCTCTGGTTTATTTTAAAATTTAAATGATTTTAAAAAATGAAGTACAAGGTTTCATTCAAATACAGTACCACTACAATACGAAATTCTTCAGCATCATCAACCCCATGAATTGAATAGCAAGTGCTCTGCTGTAAGTATTTGTATTCATGAACACTCTTCAAGTTTAATTTCTCTGTAACAGAAAAATAAAAAGATAAGTGATAATAAATATTTTTTTAAAAGTAAATGAAAAAATCAGGAAATTAATACAAACCTCTAAGAGAAGGTGGAGCTCCAGCACAAAGCTGATAAAATGAATGATATGATCTTTCTCCCTCTGTGCATTGAACAACTCTTGACTTTTCAAGCAGAACTACAAAGATTGGGGATTCATAAGACACAAATGTGACAATAAAAAAATTCAATATTACAATATAAAAGAAATGTGACATCTTACATGTTTGGATCTTGGCACCCGATATTTTTCCAGTTTCACTGAAGTGAATTTCAATCAATTTTCCCTGAAATTCATTTGGGATATTATTAAAATGATTCAAAAAGTAGCAAAATAGAACTTCATTTTCCTAAATATATAAAGAAAAATCAACTTACAAAACGACTTGAGTTGTTGTTTCTTGATGTTTTTGCATTACCAAAAGCCTCCAAAATTGGATTAGTTTTGAGTATCTCATATTCTATTCCACTTCCACCTCCAAGAGCAGCCAAATATTGCATTGCTATCTTTGCTGTTTCAGTTTTTCCAGCTCCACTTTCACCACTACACAAAAAGAAATAAAAAAAATTGTATAAATGCAATATTATATTAATTGTACAAACACTTTTCTAATGTCCAATCAAGAGAGTTTGACTAACCTTATCACAATAGATTGGTTTACTTCATCTACAAAGAGGAAAACACCAAAAAGAAAAAGCACGATTTACTGATTGGATTACAAAAAGTGACAAAAACTAATATAAGTAATTAAGTATAATAGGAAGAAGGTTACAGAAACCTCTAATCATTTCCCTGATAGCTGTATCAGCAATGGCATATACATGAGGGCTGTCTCTGGATTTACTCTTATACCCTTCAATATAATCACTCCCATACAATGGAATTTTCTTGAAAGGGTTGATGGCAACTAAAACTGGTCCTGCCTTTGACTATAATTCAAAGAAACAAACACAACATGAATTAAATAATGCAAGCTTCAATAATTGTAAATAATCGCTAAAATACTTACATAGATCATGTCTCTATCATATCTGTATTGAAGATTATACAAGACTGATGGTTCGTTTAGATAACTTAGTTGCATGAGATCATCTACACCATCAAGGATTTCTGGGTTTGCAGGTAATAGGCTGTCAGAATTCACCTTTAAAACCTAAATTAAGAAGTAAATTCAGAAGTTGTGATTAGTAGAAGCGACATGTAGAAAGAAGGAATCAACGAAGTAGCTTACTTTTCCTTCAGAAAATGAGATGAGTGACTCGTTCCCTGAAATAGATAGAATCTTGGCGAGCTCCCAATTCCCATCAGAGGATTGATACCATGACTGAAGCTTCTGAATCACAGTGAAGAAATTAGCCAATTAGGTCATTTATCTGAGTGAATTCATCGAGCATTCAGACAAGAAACAAGTAAGGGAGTTGTAATTTGGAGTCCAAATTTACCTTCTTAGCAATATATGAGGCAGTATCGCCCCATTTGGTTTCACCCCATGAAGAAAGAACAGATCCTTGAGGAGAAATCGACGGATTAACATCTTCATCATCCATGGAAGGTCTATCATTCATGAAGAAAGTTGATCTGCGACCATATGGTGAATCATCATCAACAATCTGATCAGTGTTACCATTCTCGGGTATACTAACAGAGATCATACTGCTAGTACTGCTTGTAGACTTTTCGGCTGAACCCATAAACCTATAATCCACTGGCAACGATTTAATTGACTTGAAGCGAGGAGCTCTATCGGTCGACATTATTAGCAGAAGCCGATCCTTGAATGCAAGTAACTAAAAATGGAAGTATAGAACAAGTTCAGTTCTTAGATAACTAAAAGGATCACAAAAAGGTGATAGCCCATCTGCCCGAAAAGTAATAATCATTAACACAAGGTCCTACTGGCTGACTTATTAATGGAGGGAGGGGACCCTAAATAATATCGCTATAGTGCTCTTCGTTCTTCCTTCTTGATCAATCTCCCGACAACTTCAGCATCAAATCGAAATCAACAACGAAAAGTTGCACAATAATACTCCACTTCAAAAGAAAAACATACCCTCTTACCAAACTTGTTGCAGATGTATAAGTAACCTAACCTGTCGCGATCTAAACACAAATCCTGAAATTCACCCTTTTAACACAACTTGAACTCGATTTTCACCAACTTCACTTAAACCAACCACAGATCTTCGAGCACCCAAGTAGTGAAACTGAATGTTACACAAGAAATTACCTCTTTCAACTTGCACAATTAGTTCTTGAAAACCCCAAAAGATCCGTTGCCTTATCTCTACAGTACAGATCTCAATCCAACAAGAACACTCAAGAAAACAACAACCCAATTTCCCCAAAGATGAATGAGAGAAGATGGAGAGCTTAAACCCTAGTACGTGAAAGAGGAAATGGTCCAAGGCACATGGAGAGAGACGATGGTTGCCGCTCTGCTTTTTCACTTTTTCATTCTTTAATCTCTCTCTCCAACACACATTCTTTCTCCATAAAATACTTATATATATAAGCTACTCCTTTCACCACACCAAAACTCACTAGCTACACAAAACGTACAACTGTTTCAACACAACGTACAGCCTCTTACTGAACCATCCTTCTGTACAACAAAACTTTTCTTCTGGAATAATTTTTCTTCTTCCAGAGCAAAATTCACTAACTCCTGAGACTCGTGCAATTTATAATGAGAAAAGTACAAGTATTTTCAAAACGTTACTCTGTGACTGGAGATTTATGGTGTGGAATAAAAGGTTCTAACTGGTGGGGACTTTACAACCTCCAAATGTTTTCGCCATTTTTGCGCACCAACCAAATTTGAAATTTTAATATTTGTGGTATGCGGGCGGTGGGAAGTCTTTTATTCGATTTATATTTTTTTAATTATTATTTTTAAGTTATTTATTGTGGATTTTATTTTAGGAAACTTTTAAAGGAGGCATGTGGCATCATTCAATGTAACATAATATTGTGGAGTACGATTTTTGTAACGTTCATTGATGCCGTTTTATGATCATAAATTTTTGTAATTTAATACCACATATATTTTTGAGAGAATCTTAATTTTATTTTAGGAAAAGATAGTGACGAGTATTTCATATTTGGGAAGTTTTCTTCTCTACCTTTTTTTCTCAAAATTAACATAATGAGTTGTAAGAATATACTCAAGTATTTGCGAAGGACAAAGGACTGGGTCCTTGTGCTTGGTGGCAGTGATACTTTGAGAATAGATGGTTACAGTGATGCCAGCTTTCAAACGGATAGAGATAACTTCTGTTCTCAATCAGGCTGGGTATTTTTACTGAATGGAGGAGCGGTTACTTGGAAAAGTTCCAAGCAAGATACGGTGGCTGATTCTACTTGTGAATCGGAGTACATAGCAGCGAGTGAAGCGTCGAAAGAAGCAGCTTGGTTAAGGAACTTCATCGGAGATCTCGGAGTTGTTCCTACCATCCAGGAGCCTATGGAACTGTTCTGCGATAATGAAGGAGCGGTTGCCTTGACAAAGGAACCAAGAGATCATGGTAAAACCAGACATATCGACAGAAAGTACCATTTTATCAGACATAGAGTAGAAGAAGGCCATCTTGTAGTAAAGAGGGTGTCATCTGAAGATAACCCAGCAGATCCCCTCACAAAGGGTCTGAGTAGGGCTAAGCATAGTCAGCATGCTCGGAGCATAGGACTGAAAGATGATATTAGTTTTAGTAGTTAGATTAGTTTTTGTTCTGAAACTTGTAACAAAGTAAATGTAATTGACTTTTGGTGATTAAATAATAAAGTATTATCATAAGTTTAGTTACTGCCTTTTGTCGATTGTTTGTTATTGTGTTTCATATTTTGCATGTTTTACTTCCCGAATAATTTAATTATTCAAACTCCACAGTCGCTCGTACTTTTGGAAGTAAGTAGTGAATTAAGACTGTCATGAACTGGATTGTAGATTGTCTAAGGATAGACATGGCATAGAATTGCTGCAAACGTTCATGAGTACTCAGAATTGAGATTTGAGTATTGGATAAACCCTCGCTCAGAGTATCACTTCATGGAATTCATCACGAGTAATACTGACAAAATATCTTATAATCTTGAAACGAAGATATATGAGTTGTAATTTACAAAGTCGGTTATACATTGGTGATATGAAAACGCATCAGTAACTTGGTGTTTAAAAACGTATTGTCATGTATAATTTGATGAGAAAAAGATACAAGCATATGAGTCAACGTTTATTCGTTCCTTTTTCCCTAACCGGAAAAGCAATATCTGTGGGCCCCTCGATGATTTGGTGTTGACTTATGTGCTGGGCCAGCCAGGACTAAATTGATGTGTTCAATTAGAAGTCCTACATCATCACAAATAAGAAATCGGGAAACATAGATTCTAGACAAGAATTGATTACGTTCCATCCATGTCTTATGTCTGGGGATATCTTGCAGAACGAAGGATTATATGATCACTTATGAGGACATGTAACTGACTGGGTCAGAGTTCAGCAGCAGCTTTTGGAAGCTACAATTTGTTGGTCAAATTTAGAAGGCATACTAGCAATTATAGTTATAGACTTATCCAAGTGGGAGACTGTTGGATTAGGTGTCTAAGCTCATAACTATAATTGGTATGTACTTGAATTGATAGCAGCACAATCCTTTTGGGTTGCCCTCAACCTAGCAACTAGACAAGGAAATTAGGAAAAGAGAGATATTAATTTATAAGATTAATAAATTAATATAATGATTTATTAATATGTTAAAAGTTAATATATAAATGAGAAACATTATGTTTAATTAATAGTTAGCCAGAAATTAATCATAATTAATTTTGGGGTTAAAAATATTAATTATAAAGTGCAGGGACTAGTTTGCAATTATCTAATAGTTGAGTGGAAGGATCCAGAACCTCCTTGGAAGGAGGTGGACGAAATCTATAGGGGAAACCCTAGGGATTTCGTCCAAGGGGCTTTGGATAAGTCCTTTGGGTTAGCTTAGGCCCTAAGCAAAGGAGCATTAGGGTTTTCCCTAAACCCTAGATCCCTCAGCTATATAAGGAGCCTCCCAGCTCACAATTTCGGCCACTCCTACCTTGGAAGAAACCCTAGGCCGAAAATTGCATGCCTTCCCTCTCTCTCTCCTTCAAGTTTCCTTCTTGCTAGTTCTTGGGTGTGATTCCATTAGAGGCATTACATTTGTGGTGCTAAGCTTCCAAGAAGATCAAGATCAAGATCAAGAGGATGTCAATTGTTTGCTATAACAATTGAAAGGTATGTAACTTTTAAACCCTAGTTTCTTAATTTCGAAATTAGCCTCTCTCCTCTAGGGTTCTAGTTTACAATTCAAAGTTGTATGTTCAATAGTTAAAACATAGATCCAAAGTAGGTTGCATGTGAACTTAGGAATTGTTTTTCTAGTTTATTTGTTTTACCTAAAACCCATCATAAAGAACGTTGGAATCCGAGTTATAACGAAAAAGTTATGACATGTCGAAGTTTCGCGACAAAACCGGTACGACACCGGGAATCGTAAAAAGTGAGTTTGTGATAAAGTACTTTTATCCTTAGTGACCTAAACTAAAGTTGTAGAGTACGACTCCACCTACACTTAGATATAAAGAACGTCGAAAAGGGAGCTCGTATGCAAAAGTTATGACCTTCCAAATATGTAGTTGTCTGAGGGCATGACATGTGGCAGAAACCCTAGCCGCCTCAAGTCCACGACGTGAAATTAGTCAAGGACACTAATCGAGGCTAGAAAAACACGTGCTGAGTCTACGGGAGTGATGTGTTAAGATTCCACGACGTGGACATAAAGGTCACGACGTGGAAATGTCATTCAAACACCTTTCGAAGCTAGAACGCATATGGCAAGCCTACAAAGTGATTCAACCATGCGCCACGACGTGAACATCAAGTCCACGACGTGAATGGGCCCAGAACAGCCTATAAATAGCAAGCGAGACCCTTTCTGTCCTTACACCAAACCTTCTTCCGCTCTCTCGTTTGCTGAAGGCGTTCCGTGTTCCGAGCCCGACGATCACGAACTGCTGACCGTTTCTAGTTAGATTCTATCAACTCACGCTACTAAGGTGAGTGCATAGTTACTTTCATCTTACACATAGATATGAAGTATTTAATATAAATTACGTACTATGTGTGCATATTATTTGTGTTCCTAATATTTATGTTGGATGAATGATTTATACATGTTTTAAATGATTTAAATTGTATATGTATTTTATATCTACGAATATGCTGGGTAGAACATGGGTAGATAAATAATGAGAGATGAAAGATGATATATATAAATATTCATAACCCGTAGGTGTTTTTGATTTACTTGTTCACCTGATGTAATCTAAATATCCTGGCAGCTGCGCCAAAATGATAATATTGACAGTTGTGCCTAATAGAGAACGTCATAATCTGGCAGCTGCGCCTAAATGATAATATTGGTAGTTGTGCCTAATAGATACAACATAATCCTGTCAGTTGCGCCTAAAGGATAATATTGACAGTTGTGCCTAATAGAGAACGTCATAATCCTGGCAGCTGCGCCTAAATGATAATACTGGCAGCTGTGCCTAATAGATAACATTGGCAGCTGTGTCATAAGCAGCGATGGACTTCGTGCCTATTTCTTAGGACAAACATTAGGAATAAATGAGTGGATGGTAGACGATTCTTAGGATAGATCCTTAAGAATAAAGAAGATAATGGGGATGGGTAATTAGGTTGATTGTTTGATGATTAAACATAATAATTATATTATCGTGGGTTGAAAACCCTATGTGCTCACCAGGTTTTCCAACCTGACCCACTCAGTCTATTTGTATCACAAGTGTCGATACAAAGCTACATTACATTGAGAGATTAAAGGAGATGTAAATCACTAGTGTAAATGAATGAAATGTCTGTTTATGCTTATGTTTCTGTATTGACGATGACATCCCAAAGTTTTAATATAAACAAAATACATTTCTTCGGAAATGCTTTGATAATATCTTTATCATGTTTTCTGGGAACAAATTCCGCAATACTTTTCTTTAAAAATGATACTATGATTTTTAAAATAAAGCATAAACAAAACGGTATTTCGTGGCCGTGAATTTGGGGATGTCACATTAATGGCAACTTAAGGCATATACTCAACCATCAAGCACTTAATCCTTAAAATCTCAAGACCACAATTTCCAGAAGGGTTTCCTACTCCTAAACCACCATAAAAATCAATGCTTTTTGGACATGCATGTCACTTCCCAAACTAGGTAAAAATCATGAAAAAATGAGCTCAAACTTATTCATGGGACCAAAAAACTCCAATAAACTATATATCTACAACATATAACACCAAAAGGATCTCAAGGATCCACAAAGTTGCTAACTTTATGAGATCCATTCCTCCAAACATCCACCACATGAAGAACAGGGACAACGAACTTAGATCTAGAAATATGCAACCAAAAAGCTTGAATCTT